AAAAAAAAAAAAAAAAAAAAAAAAAAAAAAAAAAAAAAAAAAAAGTGCTGTCTCTGGAGAAATACTTGAGGAGCCGGGGCTCGGAAACTGCTGGTTATCGCGGGCCAAATCCAAGCACTCCGCAAACTTCCACGAAACATCAAAAAAAAGTGGGCAGAGATCTAAATGGCAAAAGGATATGAGAGCATAGAATTGCTCTTGTGGATGTGGTTTCAAGGCTTTCCTTCTCCATGGCAACACAAAGAACGAGGCGCTTCTCTAAGAAATGCATCTGCCCACAGGAGCACCCTGGATGGATTAAGTCCTCCCTTGTGCCTAAGAGAGTTTGTAAGGGAAATGTGAAGGCAGGACAAGTGAGCATAAGTAGAAGTTAACCATGCAAAAACCAAGGAGTGAAAGGTTGGGCATTTACCACGAGCTTCCTTGTTACTGACGTTTGTACAGTCGCTCCGGACGCATTTCAGGTTCAGACTTCCCATGAAGAGCTGCTGACCTACCAGGGCAAAGATGCTGAGGCAAAAGAGGGTGAGGATAATCACATTGATCAGCTTCTTCACGGAGCGCAGCAAGGCTCCCACGATGACCTTCAGACCTGAGAAAGAGGACAGGGATGGGGAGAAGACCATTCCCCTCAGCCAGACATGCAGAAAGGCCAAGGAAGGAGCAACTGAGGTCTTGGAAACTGTCAAAGTGCAGGCTGGAACTGGACTCCAGCCTAGCCTGTGATTCTGATCCCTTGAGTTCTTGCTGCAACTCTGTGCCTTGGAAGCTGAGTGTTAATCAAAACAGTCAGCAAGTCTGAGACTCAGTCTCTCTATTCCTGCCCTATGCCTGCCTCAGTGCTGCTGTGAGGTGCAAGCAAGGGGGCTTTGAATAGAAACATGCCACAAGGACTCAAGGCATGGCTTAAGGACAGTTGCAAAGGCACCACTTTAGCTGGGGTCACAGTAGAGAATGAGATAGACCCGTATCTGACATTTAGTAGTTACCATCTACTGTCAAAGTACATGAGTACCATGAGACATAGCTAAATTGTGGAGTAGAAGGGATGAAGAAGGAGCTTTGTCTAGACTCAAGTTATGAGGATATCTTGGGAGGGAAAACTCAGATTATCAGTTATAATAAGGTGTTTTCTTTTCATTCACTTATTCAAGAAGTATTTATTAAGCACCTACTATGTCCATGGCACATGGTTAAGCTGCCAAAGTTACAAAATAAGAAAGACATAATCTTATGGTATGCTAGCAAATATTTAAAACTGGGCCTTCAAGTAGGAGGTGGGAGAGACCTGATTTATAGCTTTCCTTGTTTTCTGAATTCTGTGGTATAGATCTTGATCCCCCATTGCCACCGTGGTAGATTTCAAGCTACTAACATGATGTTACTGGACACAGAGCTGAAAAAAGAACAAGTCAGCTCCAGCAATCCACTGAGTCATGGGCTTTGCTCTCAAGATAACTGGAGAGAGAAACTCCCAGATGAGATTGCAATGCGTGGAATGAACTAAGTGACAAATTTCAGTTGATCAGTGTAGAGGTGAGAGCACATGGCAGCGTACAGTGGAAGGCCAAGCCCTTAGTGGATGAGCTTACTACAAAGTATGACACCAGATAGCAGGGACCTGGAGGCCAAGCTGGGACACTCACTATATTACCAGTTGAAGGCAAACCAGAGGTTACTGCAGCAGCACCCAAGGCAGATTTTAATCTATAACAAGAGGCTTCTCCCAAGCAAGAAATGTGATGATTGTGATTCCTGGATCGTTCTTCCATAGTCCCATAAAAGGTTGTACCTCACACCCTTACTTCCAAAAAGCATCCAGGCATCTCAGTGCATTTCATGGGCCCAAATATAGGTCATATTCACTTGTGTGGAGATGAGGAAGGGGACATGAAAACTGCTAAATGACTACCTGAATGTGTATTTACTTATGTGAAAATAAAAGGGGCTCTGCTCATGCAGAAAGCTCCTAAATCCACCTAAGAAAACAAAGTCCTACTTGCAAAAGAAGAAGAAGAGGAAGAAGGAGGAGAAGGAGGAGAAAGAGAAGAAAAAGAAGAAGAAGAACAAGAACAAGAGAAGAAGGGACAAATTCTATATAAAGTGTTATCTGACTACCTGTTTCTTTATTGCCATTCAGTTGCTTTTCCGGAGTTTCGAAAAATAACCCATTGCTTTTGTTTGAAAGGATTTACATTGCCTGGAGTTTAGGTATTGGGGCCATACGGTATAATTTAAGTCTATATAATCAGCACAACTAAATAGTTCCCATGTCTTTTCATAGTTTGCCAAAGTCACTGATAGAAGAGAAAAGAAGGGGAGGGGAGAAGGTGAAAGGAAAGGACTCCAGAGAGGGAAGATAATAAACTTTTTTGTTTTACTAAAAAAAAAAAAAAGAGAGAGGAAATGGGAAGAAGAAAAGGATGTGCTATAATAACCTTATTTTTAATAAACTGAAATTCATATTCACACCCAACCTTGGCTTCATCCTGATCTGCAGGGCTAAAGTGCCTTCCTCACCTGGCTGCCAGGAGAACACCTTTGGCTCCCCTCCTACTTCACTGGTGGCTGCTGCTCATCTCCTTCCCTGGTTTCTCCTCTTCTCCCATGTCATATTTCAGTGCCCTGGGGCTCAGGCCTTGGTCCTCTTCTGTTCTCCATCAATGCTCATTCCCCTAGTGATCTCATCAGATCTCACGAGTGTAAATATAATCTATAGACCCTTGATTCCTGAAATGGTATCTCCGGCTCCAACTTCTCCCTGGAATCCCGGACTCTTATATACCTAACTGCCTACTGAACCCTTTCCCTCGTGTCTCACAGTCATCTCAAACACAGCATGTTCAAGGCTAGCTTGTGATCTGACCCCAAGGCCTGCTCCTCTCACAGCCTTCTCTCTCTCAATCAGTGACATCAGACATAAAAGTCATTTTTGACTCCTCTCTTTTGCTCACATCATGTATACAATTATCAATCATGAAATGCTATTGTTTTGACCTTCAAGCTGACACAGAATCAGACCAATGACCTCCCACTCCACTACCACTCCCTGATCAGAGAGCACCGCCATCCCTTGCTTTCATAATGGTCTCTTGCGTCAGTTTCAGTTTTGAGGAGCAGACATTCTGAGATCAGATGTGCCAGAGAATTGTGGGGGTTGGGAGAATGCCTGTGGAAGATGAGTGGAGCGCGCAGAAGTGGGCAGGGAGAAGCTTCAGACTGTGGCGCAAGTTTGACGTCTGAGAGAGAGACAAGGAAGAAGGATTGGACAGGAGGAACCTCAGACCGCAGTGCAGCCATCAGAGTCCCCCAGCCAGGTTGCTGGAGAGCCCCTGAGCCAAAGTTTCCTGTTAGAAGAATCCCAGATGCTTCGGGAATGGGCCAGCACTAGAACCCACACATATTGTGTGGAGCAGGCATGATCTCAGCATGTGCATGAATGCAGTGGGGAACCCAGAGACGTGGAAGCTGGGATCTTGAGTCCACCATGCTCCCTGCAGCAGAAGGTCTTCCTGCTTCCACTGCCTCCCCTACATTCCATTCTCCACACAACAGCTCCCATTTCTTCAGAGTGAAGCCCAGATTCTCCCTGGGAGTCCTGCATATAGGACTCCCTTTCACTTTTTCTTTCCCTTCCTCCCTCCCTCCCTCTCTATCTCCTTCCTTTCTCTCCTTCCTTCCCTGTTTCTTTCTCTTTTTCTTTCTTTCCTTCTCTTTCCTCCCTCCCTCCTTCCTTTCTCTTCCTTCCTTCCCTTTTCTTTCTTTTTTTCTTTCTTTTCTTTCCTCTCCCTTCCTTCCTTCCCTTCTTCCTTTTCTTTCCCACCCTTCCCTCCCTCCTCACTCTCTCTCTCTCTCTCCTCTCTCTCTCCTCTCTCTCTCTCTTTCTCTCTCTCTCTCCAATCTCAGCTCACTTCAGACTGCAACCTCTGCCTCCCGGGCTCAAGAAGTTCTCCTGCCTCTGCTTCTCAAGTAGCTGAGATTACAGGTACCCACCACCATGCCTGACTAACTTTTGTATTTTTGTAAAGATGAGGCTTCACCATATTGGCCAGGCTGGTCTCAAACTCCTGGCCTCAAGTTATATGCCCGCCTTGGCCTCCCAAAGTGCTAGGATTACAGGCATGAGCGACCATGCCCAGCCCCCCTTCACTTCTGTGATCTCACTTCCAGCACCTGGCCCCTCACTCCCTCCCCTCCAGTCCCATCCTCATCCCTGCTACTCTTCAATCTCGGTGCTGGCTATTTCCCATGCTCAGAATATTCCTTCCCATATATCTGCTTGTGTCACTTCCTCAGCACCTTCAAATCTCTGCCACCTCTCACCTCAATGACCACTATCCTAATCTGTTTAAAATTGCAACCTGCTTCCCCTATATCCTGTGACTTGCCATAGCCCCACGGTGTCTGCTTTCTCTTTATATTTTCCCTGGCATATAGCACTTGATTACATGCAACACAAGGTACTTACTTATTATAACCATTGCCTGGTGTCTGTCTCCCGTCCCCCTCCCCTAAAAGGTAACACTCCATGAGACCAAGTGTCTGTATCCATTTGCTTACTAATAGATCCTAAGCAGTTAGCACAGTCCCTGGACATATTAGGTGCTCAATAATTATCAGTTGGGCCATCAAATAAATGTGTAAAGCAGGGTTTACAGGTTTGTTTGTTTTTGGTTTACATTATGACATTGTGAAAAAATTTAAATACAAATTAAGGTTCTTTCTAGATAAGAGCCAGTGTGAAAAGTGAGTGACTTACGTGAAACTACTGAAATTGCTTTCAAAGCTCTCAACACACGGAAGGTGCGCAGGGACAACAGGTTGATGCCGATGCACCAGTATGACACCATCCTGTAAGACAAAGCACAGGGAGACGTGGGCTTGCTCAGCTCTGCAGCGGCACTGCACATCGCCACAAAAGCCACAGGTAAGCTCAGCCTGGGGCCTGTGCCCTCCACAGTGAAACCGACAGCCTCACCTTCCCAGCCCCACCTTTACCTCAGGATATGGCAATACCACTGTTCATTGCTATGGAGCATGAACTGCAGAAGAGGCTGTTCTCAGTTCACCTTCATATGTGGACACAGATGATGACTCCTTGAACTAGTCCATATAGTTCCGTAAACAACAGAAGTCCTTTCACATATATACTGAGTGGCTGGCAAGTTCCATGCCCCAAGGCACTTCACTAAGGTCTCCAGCCACTACACGGTCAGGCCTGAATGTGAACCCAGGCAGCACAGCTCCAGAGCCGTACTCTTAACCACTGTGCTTCTCTGCCTTTCCATAACTAAGAGCACACAGCCTTTGAACTTCAAATGTAAAACTCTGAAATTACTAGCACCTACTTCCAAGGGCTTTTGTGAATATTAAATAGGAAAAAATATGCAAAGTGCTCAACATTATACCTAGTACAAATTAAATGACACTAGGTTAACTATTGCTGTGCTGGCAATGGGACATTGCATTTCTTGCTTTTTCTTTTGCTGACTCCATTACATCATTCAGATTCCAAATCAGTGTCCTTTCCTTCAGGAAGAGCCTCAGCCTTCACCTCACACCATACATAATGATAACTCAGAATGGGCCATGGACTGAAACATAAAAGCCAAAACTATAGAACTTCCAGAGGTGAACATGAATAAAGCTCTTTGTAACCTTGTAGTAGCCAAAGATTTTTTAGACTGTTTGGTTCTTCCTGTGTCCTCTGACAGCTCAACACATGTATAGCCCCTGTCCTGGTACTCACCGTACCATATTGTAAGGGTCATTAATTGTCACTGTTCCCCTCTGGACTGTGAACTTCATAAGACTGAAAACCATGTCTTTTTTTTTTTTTTTATTGGCACACCCCTGTATCTTGCATAGAGTCTGGCCCATAATAGGCCAGTGTTGGTGAGTAAATGGCTGAAGGAACAAGAACTTGAGTGTTGACCTAGAAATGGGTTTGTGTGTGAAGGCCTCTGGCCAGTTGGCTGCATGTGCTGTTCAGGGCCAACCAACACAGAACTCAGAGCTCTAGGCACTACTAGGCCACACTCAGCCACTCACATGGATCCACACAGAGCACTGATGGAAGCAAGGGGGCTTCTTTCCCACCCCAAGTCTCCTCAAAAACATCTTTAACTTCTTACGCTGTTCCAATGACAAGGGAGTCCAGCCAGTTCCATGGATCTCGAAGGAAAGAAAACTCATCCAGAATGAAACCTCTTGCCAATATTTTAATCAAGGCTTCAAAAATATAAATCCCAGTGAAGACATACCTAAAAAGCAAATCGTTCACAACAGGAAGGAACATGATAAACAATGTGAACAGCAAAGAGCCCTTCTATCTTACTGGCCTTCATATTTTTTTCCATTTAAACGTGACATTTAATATCCTGGTCTTCAGCAAACCAGAGTTCAAAATGGCAAGCTGCTTAAGCAAATCCTGGTATTTAGAATTCCAGAGAAACCAGCCTAGAGATAAACTGTGAAGGTGCATTTTAAGCTTTATGGCCATATTCTCGAGAGTAATTTCAGATAACAAGAGGCCCAAGCACTGGAGGTTGTAGTTTGTCACCACAATTCTAGAGTTGGCATTTGACAAGCAAATAGCTGAATTTTTTCATACCTGTGTTCATGGATTGGAAGGCTTAATATTGTTAAGGTGTCACACTACCCAGGGTGATCTACAGATTCAGTGCAATCCTTATCAAATTCCCAATGACTTTTTTTTACAAAAATATAAAAATTCATCCTAAAATTCATATGGAATTTCAAGGGACCCCAAATAGCCAAAACAATGTTGAAAAAAAAAATTTGGAGGTCTCACACTTCCTGATATTGAAATTTATTACAAAGCTACAGTAATCAAAATAGGTGTGTATTAGTCCATTCTCACACTGCTAATAAAGACATACCCAAGACTGGGTAATTTATAAAGGAAAGAGGTTTAACTGACTCACAGTTCAGCATGGTTGGAGAGGCCTCAGAAAATCTGCCATTATGGTGGAAGGGGAAGCAAACACATTCTTCTTCACATGGCAACAGGAAGGAGAAAAATGAAAGCAAAGCGAAGCGGGAAGCCCCTTATAAAACCATCGGATTTCCTGAGAACTTACTCACTATCGCGAGAAGAGCATGGGGGAAACCATCCCCACGACTTAATTGTCTCCCACCAGGGCCCTCCCATCAGATGTTGGGACGATGGGAACTACATTTCAAGATGAGATTTGTGTGGGGACACAGCTAAACCATATCAAGATGGTACTAACATAAAGACACATATACACCAAAGGAATAGAATAGAGAGCCCAGAGGTAAACTTTTGCATATATGGTCAAATTATTTTCCACAAGGGTGACAAGACCGTGGAATAGTTTTGGGAAAATGGGCAGTCTTTTCAACAAATGATATAGAGAAAACTGAATCTCCACTTGCAAAAAATGAAATTAGAACCTTAACTTACACCATATAAAAAATTACTTCAATATAGATTAAAGTCCTAAATGTAAGATCTGAAAAAAATAAAATTCATAGAAGAAAAATTTGAAAGTCATATATCTAACAAGGAGTTAATATACAGAATATATAAATAACTCCTACAACGGAAAACCAAACACTGCATGTTCTCACTCATAAGTGGGAGTTGAACAATAAGAACACATGGACATGGGGAGGGGAACAACACACACACTGGGGCCTGTTGGGGGGTAGGGGGAAAGGGGAGTGAGAGTATTAGGCCAAATACCTAATGCATGGGGGGCTTAAAACCTAGATGATGGGTTGATGCAACAACAAACCACCATGGCACACATATACCTATGTAACAAACCTGCATGTTCTGCAGATGTATCCCAGAACTTATAGTAAAATAAAATAAAATAATAAAATAAAAAAGAACACTTACAATTCAACAATAAAAGATTAGATGACCTAATTTAAAAATGACTAAATGATTTGAATAGATATTTCTCCAAAGATGGAATATAAATGGCCAATGAGCATATGAAAAGATGCTCAGCATCACTAATCATTAGAGAAATGCAAATCAAAACCACAAAGAGTTGACCTCACACCCATTAGGATGGCTACTATTTTTTTAAAAAAAACATAAAATAACAAGCGTTGATGAAGATGTGGAGAAATTGACACACTTGTGCACTGTTGATGGGATTGTAAAATGGTGCAATCCCTATGGAAAACATTATGAAGACTCTTCACAGATTAAAAATAGACCTGTCATACTATCCAGCAAAGCCACATCTAAGTATATGTACAAAAGAATTGAAAGCAGGACCTCAAGGACATATTTGCTTACCCATGTTCATAGTAGCACTGTTCACAATAGCCAAGAGGTGGAAGCAACCCAAATGCCCTTTGCCAGATAAGTAGACAATCTTCTAAAAAAAAAAAAGCTTATATCTTTTTCTATATTCCCAAGCTGTCAAAAATAATGGGTCTGCACACACACACACACACACACACACACACACACACGGGACTGAAACAAGTAAGTAATTCGGTCAAACAACCTGTCAGTTCAGAGTAAAATGTGGTATATACATGTGATGGAATATTAATCAGCCTTAAAAAGGAAGAAAATGTTGTCACATTCTACAACATGTATAAAAGTTGAAATTATTATGCAAGGTGAAACAATCCAGTCATAAAAAGACAAATACTGTGTGATTCCACTTATATGAGGCAGGGGCTGAGGAGAAGATTGAAATGGGGAGTTGGCATTTCATTGATACAGAGTTTCAGTTTTGCAAGATAAAAAGAGTTCTGGAGATGAATAATGACAATGTTGTGCAACACTGTGAATGTACTTAATTCCACTGGACTTAAAATAGTTAAGATGGTATCTTTTATGTTATAATGTTATCACAATTTTAATAAAATCTAGCTCCTTCCTTTTTCTTCCCTGAATCTTCCATCACACTCTATCTTTGCTATGGTTGGAATGTCCCCTCCAAAAGTCATGCTGACATTTAATTGGCACTATTATGGTATTAAGGGGTGGGACTCTTAGGAGGTGATCAAGCCATGAAGGTACTGCCTTTGTGTATTAATGCCAATGACTCAGGAGCGTGTTCCTGACAAAAGGTGAGTCCAGGCCTCTTGGCCGTTGCTCTCTCATGTGCACATTTTTGCCCTTCTGCCCTCTGCCTTCTGCCGTGGGATGAATGAAACAGCAAGAAGATGCTCACCAGATGCAGACCCTTTGATCTTGGACTTCCCGGCCTCCAGAACTGTAATAAATACATCTGTATTCTTGACAAATTATCCAGTCTGTGGTATTGTTATCACAACATAAAATTGACTAAAACAATTCTCTAATTTATTTCCTTTTTTATCTTCTGCCTCAAAAAAAAAATCTTATATCTTTTGTTATAATCCCAAGCTGCAAAAATACTGGGTCTGTAAGCACTAACACATGCGTGCACACACACACACACATACACACACACATTCACTTGGGACAGAAACAAGCCATTCAGTTAAACAACTTGTCAGTTCAGAGTAGAAGAAGTGGACCTTTTCTGGTAAACTATCCATCCTAGTAGCCTTGAAAGCTAAAGAATAAAGGCCTTGAGGACTTGAAAAAACTCGAAGCAGAAATGGTCCTGAGGCTGCTACAGGCAAGAGCTCCTCCTTGCTGCAGGTTTTTTTCTGAGCTACTCACCTTTTGTGTGACAAATGAGCATATCAGATTAAATAATGTCTGTCCTAAAATATATGTGCATAAATGTGGGGTTGCAGGAGGCTGTTAAAAATGTCCTCAGATAAAGAGGCATGAGAAGAATTTAAAAGGGCAACTTCCTTTAATAACAATTTTAAATTATAAAGCCATAGGTGCTTTGGTAAAAATCTGTAATAGTAGATTCATGGGATTTTTCAAGTCTTCATACAGGTCTCAAGCAAATGAGACAGCAGACCCTGGCTGCTATTTCTGCATGACATTCTAGCCTCCCACCTCTTCCCTCCACCATTCTCTCTTTTCCAGCTGAAGCCTGACCAATGATGGGACAGGCACACCAAAATGACATCTGGTGTGGAGCAGAGCCATGCCCGCCAGCAGGAAATTACATGCCTCCTTGTATGAAGACATTTTTAACAGCCTTCTCCCACCCAAATTCATGTATCCTCTGTTTATCCAAAACTGCCAGGAGAGAACAGCAGCTTTCCCTATCCTTACCTCCTGCCTCTCTGTTTCCCTACAGCCTAAAAAGGAGTTTTCCTCCCTGACTTATGAGTATTTTAATAGTGAAAATGGCTTCAGAGCAAATTGCCTTCCAGTTGGGCCACTGCTTCCCATAATAGAGAAAGAAGGCTCCTTGCATCTCACCACAAGGACTAGGCAGGGCAAACCACTGCTGTGGAGACAACTTAGTCTCCTGATCTGTCTCCTCCATAGGTCCTGCCCCCCTGATCACAAAGGCTTCCAGGGAAGTTGCAGTAAGTAACTCAGCACCTCATACAACAGCCAGATCTCCAAAGGGGAGATCACATTCCCCAGGGACACCACCAAGATGGCATCTATTTCCAGGACTACCTGTGTCCTCAAGGCACAGCCCCTCCACCAGCCAGCCTTAACCAGGTTCCAGGTTCCACCTAGCAACAGAGAGGGATGGTCCCTACAAAGATGCCACCTAGGACGGAGAAGAATTCTCTGCAGGCAAATAAACCAAATCAGACCTTGCAGTCAAAGAAAGGGCAGTTTTCAAAGTCTGACCTCCAACCTGTGTCCCAGAAACCACTAGAACTAAGTAAAGGAAAATAGATATGTATGTGATTTTAGACAACACTTCCAGGAAAAAAGTAGGGTGGAAGTGACTGAAGACTGCCTTCCCAAATTTCCATTAAATATCTGTGAAAACATTTGAAAATAAAAACATGCTCTAAAGAAACATGATGAAAGTGAGCATCATCCAAATTCCAGGAGGAAATCCCCCCAGGGTCATCAGTCCTTCCTGCCCCGGAGCATCCAGCCTTGCTCACATAGCCCTTTTCCTGATGATGCCGTATTCCCTAATAAGTACCTGTAAGGTCTGGGAGTCCCTGGTCCTACTCCCCACCAGAGGCATAAACAGCTGCTAGCCAGCTTTCACCGTCATGCCTATAGCATGAGTGATTCCCTCAAGCCTTAGAAACGATAAGTCATTGCTCCACTCATTTTTAAAATATCAGATAAGCCATTCCATTCACAAAAAGCTTCTTGTATTTGCCTGAACCTGAGTGGGTCTCTTTGAATTACGAGAGGATCTGAAAGAAAATG